GCCCTTCAAATAGAAGCTTATCTTCTGTAATAAAGGGTACAGGCCACCTCACCTTGAAAATGCCCTGAAATACAATGGATCCAATCCAATATGCACTTGTCTTGGAGCAAAGCCTACTGTCTTTCACTGGTCCTTATTTCTGAGCAGAGACAACGAAACATCCTACAGCAATGAGGGCAGGGAAGTTCTGATGTTCCTCAAAGGAGACCCCTCTGCCTGAAATAGCTTCCCCATTCATTCCAATAGGGTTACCCCATCTGCATCCACAATGTTCTATACCCTCCAATGGATTTTTTTTCCCATCTGTATGAATGGATGGAGAAATCCACAGCAGAGTCTAATGTGTTCAGATTTCTATGAATATGACTCACAGATTTGACACCAAACATGGTTTTTGAAAGCTGCAAGGATTTTACAGACTTTGGACAAGTTTTTACTTCCTGGAATTGTGTGCAAGTTAGTGGTACAAAAATATGAAAGTTACTAGAAAATGATCCATACACCATTAAAAAGAAAGGCAATATTATATCTATACCTGATGTCTCTTCAATCTCTGCTGTTTAGCAGTTGTGTGACTGACTCTGTGCACGTGTGTGTGCATGTGCGCTCTGTTTATTGATAGCATGCAAAATGAGGGGAAATGCAAAATATTAAGTGCTGGTGAAAGTTCCATAAATTGTAGCTGCCTTTTTTTGCATGGTTTTCCAAATGGGGAAAATATCTGGATCTGTCAATGAGCAAAACAGGAGCAACAGATGCCTGATAATCCATGAAACACAGACAGGATGGACTTAATGAAATTGATATATCCCTAAGTATGTGGGATTAGAATTCATATGCAGATTTGAGAAATGGCATGTCTTCTTCTTGCCCATGACACAACATACTGTTCCAGAAGCAAACATCTCTCTTCCTTCCATGTATACCTTTCTGGGTCACATTAGATTTGTTTCTGAGCAAGTCAAATGTGTCCAAAAAACAACAAAGAAATTAATGCCCCTTTCACAGGACAAGACTCAAATTGTGCTACCACAGGTACTGCCTTGCATATCATGGGTATCTCCTAGTTTTCACTTACTGTGAGAATCACACTATGAATATCAAGTGTCATTTCTGCTCTCCGAGGGCTGGTAGGCTGAAGGGGGGTCTGAGGTAATACCAAGAAGAGCCATGTCTAGTGAGCAAGAGGATAAAGCGCAACTTTCTTGAATTGAAGAATTATACCCATTTCAGAAACATGAGTTCTAGTATCTTGCAGACATAGGACCAAACTTAGTGCAGCATGGGAGACCAGGGGAGGCCAGTCTACAGGTTGGGGGCAGCTGTGGGGGAGAGGTTAGGACTACGAGGGAGGCTAGCCACCCTATCCTGTGCCCTCTCTTCCCTAAAGTAGGAATTTGCTCTATCGGGAACAATACAGAAGTATGAATACCTGCTACTTTTCCCTTGTAGAATACATAGTAGCTTGGGAAGGAGGTGAAAGAGGAGGACACAGGTAAAATGGAATAGTCCTTTCACCACAGTGCCATGGTCCTGAACCAGACGGGGGTTACCCACTCTCCATTGTTCCCATCTTTAAAATTTCCATTAACTCATCTCCCGTGCTGTTCCTAGATAGACCTTTAATTGCCTCCAGCATCAAAGAGATCATCTAACTTCATGGCAATTAAACATATTTTTGAGAAGAGTGAGCATCCAGCCCTTTTTGCTTTTAAACTCATTGTAAAACATATGCCAAAACTTTAACTTCATCTAGATTTGCAATTCACATGGGCTGAGATATCGAAGGTTTCTTACAGTCTCCCAAGAGGGTTTTGGCATGGAAACAAATGGATCCAAAACACTGAACATCTTGACAGTGTGACCTTTCTCTTTAAACAACAAAAAGTAGAATCCTTTAGTAGTTCTGTGATGGCTTGATGGTGTGTGGTTAGAGGACTCTCTAAATCCCCCACCATTGAACTCTTGATCTTATTGATTTATAATGCTTGTCCAAGAAAAGAAATATGTCCCTCTTTTTTTCTTTCACTTACCTCCTCTAGGAGTAGAGGAGACTTACAAGCATTAATTATTGATCTCTTGCATGTGTGTGTTTGTGTGTGTATGTTTAATGAGCAGAATAATCAGACATGTTATTGGCAGCACTACAATGGAATTTATCTTATCTGTGTGCATCTGACTACATGTTCACACAATACATATAGCTTAAAATGCTCTTGAGGCATCTTTGGGTTTCACTGAATTTATCTGGTGGTTGGATTGTGTGACGTGGGAAAGCCCCAGAAGTAGAGCAAATGTAGAGTAAATGCATAACTAAATGATGAGAAACCATGCTGGCAAGAGGAAGAAAAAAGAAACTGGCATTCCAATTATGGGTATTCCACTATTCTGTAAGAGTGTAAGAAAAATGCAGACTTTGGTAATGGGATCTGGCTGGAACACTGCAGGTATAAAAACAGAAGGATTACAAACAAAGCCCTAGCCAGCATAGACAATGGCAAGAGATTATGGGAATTGTGGGCCAAAGCATCTGGAGGGCCACAAATTGCATATCCTTGAGCAGCATGGATATCCACGGGAAAATGCATTCCAACCTATCAGTGTTTGCTGTAACACCCATCCTTATGTTCCTGTCCCATGGATTCAGCTCACACCAGTGGGGCAATGCCTTTACAGGCTGCCATTGCCAAATGGTCAAGTGATAGTGAGGGAGCTGATGACATATGCCTTGCAAACCTAAACAGTTGCATGAAAGATCAGTTGCAAATGCCAGCCTTTTTTATAACTTGCAGCAAGATAGTATATACTCACCCTTCCACAGATCACTCAAAGCAGAGGTTTTTCCTTACTGAATATTCATTGAAGTTAACTCACCATCACTGCCATGGCTCAGATGCTGAGTCATCAATCCTAATATAATCTGCTCTTCTGCACTGTAAATGTGGCGGAGGTTGACAGTAAGAATCATAGCAAGCTGAGCAAGTTACCATCTATTTGGATCTCATTTATTGCATGCATTTTAGCAGCCTATTATGCAGGTCTAAATATGAACTTATCAAATTGTGTTATTGTGCTTGTATTATGCTCTTCCTTTAAGAGGCACTAGATGGCTTAAATGGGGCTCTAAGTAGACCCTATCAAGATGCTGGCCAGACTAGTACCTGCTAGCTTAAACAGTATGGCAGCCATTGTTTAAGTAAGAAAATCTTGTTTATGTCCATGAAACACCCTTCGGAAATGTGGCACAACCTAGTACCAGTTTTACAGGATCCAAGTCTTTGATGAAGGAAATCGTTTCTGTATTTTCTGCTTACTCATTTTCACTTCACTAATAGTGTTCCTTTATTATTATTATTATTATTATTATTATTATTATTATTATTATTATTTTGTGTATGCGGAAGGGATGGAAGATGCTACAAATCTATTAAATGCAAGCTATAAAACCCACACCCAAGCCAACATTATCATAGTAAGGTCAACATCATCCAAACAATATTATCTCATTATGAAAAGGCATGATGGCGAGATGCAACTTTGCTCACACAATTACTCAGAGAGATAAAACAAACACAGGGAAACAAAACTGGCAGCGTTTTCCTTCCACGTCTTTCAGCAGGAAGAAAAGGTGCTAACACATGTAACAGAACTAGCAACACGTGTAAAAAAAAACTAGATTTGCCCATGATCAGTGCTATTAGCATCGTTCCTAAGAGAATAAATGTACATTCTTACATATGTGAATAATACTGTGGGACTTACTTCTAGGCAAACAAATATAGGCGAGATCACATGCCATGTCGTACCTAGAAGTTCTCGGTTCAAATCCCACTCTGCCATGAACGTATCACAGAGTATGAGGCAAGCTAGGTAGGATTGCTCAATCTTGGGTCCCTATTTGGAGTATGAGGATAATAATACTAACTTCCATTACAGAGCTGTTGTAAGCACTGAGTTAGTGGGGAGGTTCACAGAAAACAGTAGTTTATGCCGTGTACCCTACTCTAATCAGCCCAGCCCTGAGGCCGTTGACAGATGATTGGGCATATCATGGGTAGCAAGGCCCTTCCTCCTCCCTAGTCTGTCCTTCTCCAGATAATCCTTAGAAATCCCACCCTTAAAATGGAATTTGGCCATCTGGCGGCCAGTTTTTGTGATCTGCAAAATTAAAATGTAGAGGGGCTTGGGGGACAAGCACAGCGAGCTGAGAACCGCTTACACTTGCTGCCACGTGCTGCTTGGGCACTTTGGAGTGACTAGCAGTGGCATTCACCCAGCAGCCATTTGGCAAGTGTGAGAAAGGGGTGTGCAGCTCTTGATGAGTGACTCACTAGAGGCTTGTCTTTAACCATGGCAGGTTGCATTTTCCAGGTCCAGATAACATCCAATGCATCATGGGTGAACCTACAATCTGTGGGTTATCAAGATGGCTTATAACCTACATTTAAGTCACTTTAACCCATCCCAGCTTCACCTGACAGGCTAATCTACCATAGTTTATAAGCTACTTTCATACACTTTGACCGGATTTGCATACACGAAAACCCATTATAAGTCACAGTGGGCTGCCCTGTTGTGCAAACCCAGTCAATGTAGACATAGTGCTCTCTAATTTATAAAGTACTCTATATTTGTTCTTCCAAAGCTTAAAGTAGCATTTGTATTTCCAGAATATTATTATTTTTGCATTACATTTACATCCTGCCTTTCTTCTTCTTACAAGGAGTCTAAGGTAGTTTATAATGCTCTCTCCTGCTCTACCTTATCATCACAATAACAACCCTGTGAAGTAGGTTAGGCTGAGAGTGAGCAACTGGCCCAAAGTCACCTGTGAGCTTCAAAGCATTCTTAACCTGGCTATCATATAACCTCATCCAGATGACTGAGTGTCCTCAGTAGTTTCCAGTTATTATGTCTTCCTAAATATGCACATTCTTGAACATGATAACACACCTGCACATTTTTATTTAGCTATTTACAAATAAAAATGATGCATTAAGTTTATAAAATCAAGGCTTCATTTGAGCCAAGCATTCACTAAATCTTCAGGGGATACATTGCATGCGATGACTTAGTTCGTGAATCCACAGAAGGTATTAGAAAGTTTATGGCCATTATGGCATCTCCAAATAACCTTCCTTTAACTACACAAGGACAATTGTCATAAATCTGATACCGACTTTCTACCTAAGGGAGAAGGCCTTTTTACAGATAGCCTTCTGAACCCCCAGGATCAGCTTCCATCAGCCCTTTCTTTGTAAGAAGATTCTGAACATCAACATGTTTTGTGCTGTCTGTCTTATTGGTGATGTCTGTCTGTGTAGCATTCTGTTGAATGTTTGTTTATTTTCTCTTTATTGCTTGTTTGGAATATCTATGTGTTTTTCTCTTGAACACTACCACAAGAGATCATTGCCTGTAGAAATGCCCTAATGATCAATCCATTGAAATATCAGGGATAACATCATGGCTTAACATCATGGGTAAAAACCATGGCTTCCACACCTCAAGAATTCAGGTAATTTCTTTTGGACTAGCAGAAAAGTGACATGAACTTCAAAAGATTTTTTTCATCTTCATCCTAGCCAAATGGTGACAGTTTCTTCTTCTTATTTCTTATTAGTGAGGACATGCTGCCCACACAGTTGTTCTCACTGGGATCATTCCATCTGATGCAGTCCGCCTTCCTTTTGATTGTTGAGTGAGATGTCTTCCATTGACCTTTAGCAAATCAACCAGGGCCGTTTGGTTTATCCCGCTGGCGATGTCATATAAGCAGAGCTTGTCAAAGAAATCACGAGACCTTTCTCACATTGTTGTGTAGATCACCTCAAAAGATTCATACCATGTTTGCCCACAGATGGCATAAATCCAAGAGATGATATCACATATCATCCGGATTGCTAGGTATCGTCACTTTAAAGCTGGCAATGTAAAGAACAAATAAAAAACTAGATAGTTCACCTCCACATAGAAATATCTCCAAGGGACTTTCCACCCACTCTTTTCTTACAATGATTGTGGACATTTGTATGGAAGTCTAATGCAACTGAAATAGGCTAACAAATGTTTCATTTCTTGACCTTTTAGTGAGTTGCAGGGCACTCTAATTATCTTGGCAGATGATATAAATACATCCATTTCATCTAGTAAACTGTTCTCCAAGTTTACTAGATAGGTTTGTGTGTTAGCACACCACAGCGTAATATTGGTATAGCAGAAAAAGCCCCGCAACCACAAGGAAATTAGAGTTTAGCACATCCACATTGTCCTGATGCAGTGCAAGAGCACCAGTCTATTAGTGCAGTAGGCTGCCTAATCCAGCCTCCGTTCCCTGCAGTGGCCAGTGAGAACCCCGCCGGAATCACCCATGCAGGTCACCATAGCAGCTGGTATCCAGTGGCTTATTGCTTGTCAAAGTGGATGGTGTATTTGGCCATCATGACTAGTAGACAGTGGTGGACTTACCCTACAATAATTTACCTAGTCCTCTATTCAAGCCATTTGAAGTGATCACCACCACATCCAGTGCCAAGAAATTCCAGAAACTGTGTGCTCCGTGAAGAAGTACGCTGTTTGTGCTGAACCTTCTGTAACTAGCTTGAGCTAAAGACTCTGAGAAGGAGATGCACAAAAATCTGCAAGGAGAAAGGATATTACAATTCAGATATTCAGAAGAGACTGAAAATAAGCTATGGTGAGTTGGTTGTTCATTCACTAACTCACATATCACCTAAGAAATAACTGGGAGCAATGAGGCTTGATATGACTTGTTTTCTCCTTAGTCTTCATGCCTGGTCTCATTGCACAAAAAATCCTGAAAGTGAGAAAATACATAGCATTACGTACGTGCAAATCTCATGAAGGTGAAAAAAGGAATACTACTATTGAAGCAGTTAACAAGTAGAGGAGAAAATTGACCAGAGTCATTTCAACAGCTGACAGAGAGTGGATATCATTAGAGTGATAGTGAGGAGTGTGTAGGTTCTCACCTCTCCCACCAAGTTGTTATGTAGCCCTTTCCAACAAGCCATTCAAAAGCTACCTTGCTGGATTCACATACAGCAACAAGCAATTTTGACACCCATGTTATGGGTTCTCCTTCTCAGCATGGTTTGTGTGCAGTTAATACCACACTGGAGAAACCTCAATGATCTCAGTCATCCTGACAAGCCACCCTGAAACAAACAAGGCTGACAATTCAAGGTTGTTCTGTCATGCAAGCCAGGTCCAGATCTTGTGAGGGGTGGTGGAAGTTTTCCCCATTCATTTGCTGCATGGCATGCATGATCTAATGAACCTCTTTAACAGAGGTGAGCAGATGGTAGCCCACTTTATTATGCCTAAAATGCAATTTCAAATTAAAAAACAAAGCCAAACAAAATGTAGCCATACAGAAGATGTTCCAGTTTCCTGATCATCCTGGTTTTCCTTCTTCTGTCCTTTTCATAGTGCATTGTGTTCTATGCAAACATTTTATGAGAAACACTGAGTGCAGTTTATAGAAGCAGGCATTTCAGGACCTGCCCAGTCTAAATCAGAGCAGCCCCACACAGAACCTTGTGATGGAGTGCAGTATCAGAAATATGCAAGCTTCTAGTGATTTCATATGTGTTTAAAGTACTGTTGGCCTTTAACAAAAGTCTAAAAGCCCTGGATCACTACATCTTGAAAGCTTGTCCAAAGCACAGTAAGAACCTATTTGCAAGAGCAAGTCCAACATGGCAGGCACAGATGTTTGAGCCCAAGCTGCTAAAATCCTAAATCTATTAACAATAATAATTTGAACTGTTCTAGATGGTGCTTCACTGTTCTTTGCTCTAATGCTTCCTCTTTTCATTTTTTATTGAATTGCCTTCTTGTTCCATATGAAACTGTGCATAGAGCTCTTACTTTAAAACTAGTCAATTGACATCACAACATTCACTTCAGCTAATTCTAACTTTAGGGTTTTTCTCAGAGCTGTAGGACGGTGTCCCAATAGGTCACAGTCAAATCGACAAGATCATTCTAGCATTTCACAATTAGCTAAGAAGCTTTTGAAGCATCTCATTTATCTTTCCCTCTGAACAATACATTTTAGAAATATTTTTGTTAATGTCAGAGGCCACCTTTGGCATAGCTGTTTAGCCTAGTTTTCATATAATTGGACCTTGTGGGGATTTGGAAGTTTTGTTATATCTAATGCATACATTATAAGCAAGGAAGGCTGACTCACTGCCTACGAAATGAAGAGAACATACCAGTGAAATTGCTGTGTTCTGTTTGTAAGGAAGACATATCAATGTTGGTCCAGACGAATCAATACAACTGGTAGAAAGGAAATGAGGTTGAAAGACTACAAATTAGGGTGATATAAAAATCAAATGGGCATGGTCTAGGCAATAATAGCACAATTTCAGGAGCAGCAGCTTTGGAGGAGATTTTTCTCTTTCAAGGTCATCGCAATGCGCTAATTTCCAGGGCTTAGAAACAGCAAGTGGGGAAGCAGGGATGGAAGGGATTTATGTGATACAGCAAGGGTGAGAAACACTTTCCCTTTCATGAAGTGCTGCAGGCTATGCAGGAAAGTATGATTTAATAGGTGTGCTGCATTATAACAAGAGTATATCTTTGATTGCTTGTCCTTTTTATTTACCAAGCATTTTAACAGTTAAAATTTTATCCTCATCTTTTACACTGTATTTTATCTTGTACTGCTGTTATACCCCTGGACTGATCTGTGGGTTTATTATCACCATTTTATATGATATACTATTTATTTTTATTTTCTATGGTATTGATTATTATATATTGCTGATTATTGTCCTGTTTGTTGTATATTTTAATATTGTGAACCATCCAGAGAGCCTTTTTTACTGATGGGTGGTATAGAAGTGAATGAATGAATGAATGAATGAATGAAATTATTCAAAAAATAAGTTGATAAATATTCTCAGGATATGATCAGTTCTGGAACATTGGAGAGGCCTGGAAATGTGAGCCATCCCAAGACACTGCAATTTTGGAAGAATTTGGGGAGGCAGCCTTTGGGAATAACTAAGATGTACAGTTGGTGGTAGGAAACTCGGAGCAGCGGAGTTTCTCAGATGGGACAGACACACCTCTTGACCCCATGACACATTGTCAGCAGAGGAAGGCATCCCAGTTAGAAGATAGGTGTGCAGAGAGGAGGTGTGCCCATTTTCAAAAGTCTCCTCCCAAAGGGATGGGCGGCGGGTATGTTCATAAGGAGAGTGTCTGGAAGGGAATACTAGACTGGATACACAAACTGCTCTGTACATGCTCAGAGTTTCACTCCAGGTGTTTGTGCATCTGGAAAATGCTTTGATCAGTACAGAACATTTGCAAGGAGGGTCTATGGTTCTGAATGCGTGAAGTGAGAAACCCTCGCTCGTGACACCTGTGGCTTCACACAGTCTCCACTGCACTAACACACACATACACATACCCACAGAGTTGAAAATGAGGTAATAGGTAGGCTTTTCTGCCTCAATAAATGAATGTGTGAATAGTTCTTACATGAAAAAGAAGATAATTAAAAATAACATGGACAACAAACGTATCATGAATACAGCAAATATCTGGCTTCTAAGGCAAAATCCATTCTCAGAGCACTACTTAACTGCTCACTCTTTTGACTTGGCAACTAGACTGGCCAGGTCACCTCCTACTGCTCTGCCCTTCCTTGTTCTACAGTGTCTCCCCTCCCCACAACCAGAGATGCTCTTGCTTGCATCGGCCTATTGGCTTCTCTGGAAGCTTGTTGGCCCTGGCCTTTCACCTAAGCCTTCTGATCCTACCTCTTCTTCCAGTTCAGATGCCAAGTCTGAGGCATTCACCTAGGAATGGTGCAATTTGGGAAGAAGCAAGCCTAATCCTTATATCTAATGGGGGCAGCGGAAACCGCCCAGAGAGGACTAAGCCTGCTTGGTGGGCATGGCTGGGAATCAAAGAAATCCAGAAGAGAAGGAGATTGGAATGGGCTGACGAGATATGGATGACGAGATGGAATACGGAAGAACGACCCATCGTGCAGCATTTTGTCGTGGGTCCCATTTGTTCAACACTATTATTCATCCCATTCCTGATACGGAAATGAGCCAGACCTTCTTCTTCCTTTCTGCACTGTTCTGCTTTAGGTGGTTCTTCTCGTTGTGCTTTGTTTTGTTTTAGTATTTTTAGGTGCAATCTGATGTACTTTAGACAGAAAAAATAGAAACATCTTACTGGGGAATGCTTGGAATTGTAGCACTTTTTTCTGTCAAAACATGCATCAGATTGAATCCTAAACCACTTTGTTCTGCACTCTGATTTTAAGATGCTTCTATGCTTGGTTTCTGCATTTGGTGTTGTATAAAAACACCAAGTTTTTAAGTATAAAAACTTAAAACTGCACAATCTTTCAACATTTTCATATTGTTGCAAGTCTTAACTATAGCTCACATCAGGTGACCTATTTGGGCCAAAAGGCAACTCATAACATTTACAAATGTAATGATTTTCTTTTAAGCCTTTAGAAATGATCTAAAATTATTAATTAGCTAATTATATAAAATTTATTAAAGCAGTATCCTCCAACAATCAGAAATGAGTTAAATGGAGGTCTATTTCATACACATTTTTGCAAACTGCAAAAAGAGACTACCTGTTGGTAATTTTTCATTGCTTTTAAAGAGAGAGGCTATTTATAGAAAAGAAAGTTCTAGCCCAGTTTCCACATCTAAACTGGGTGAGGAAAGGCATTCCACATCCTGAGCTGACACTCCTGGTCTTGGTAGGAGTGAGACTGCAAAATAAACCATGATCACAGCGTAAGATTTTCATATTGCATATGAACCCGGATTGGCTGCAATCACTCCAGAAAAAAGAAATTAAATCTGCAGCAGCCCAGGGAAATAAGAGCTGCAAAGAGCTGTGGACAATGCTGAAGCAAGCACAGAACAAAGGTTTCTTAGGGAACATTTTAAACCCATTCACTTGCATAATGTTTGCCCTGAAATGCTCTTTGAAGAGCATTTGGTATGATTCTAATTGTAATGGCTCCATGGCAAAGCCATTTAGGACCCTGGGAAATTGGTACGGACTGCTTCTTCCACTTTCTTTCATATTATCCTTAAAGCCCTTGAATATTCGAGCGGTTTATTATTTAGCTGCTCTTCAGTGCAAAACGTTTATCTAGTAACACTGTGCCCTGTTCTCCAAGGATATTTGCTACTTCTTTTTCTCTGCCAAATTTTCCTTCTTGCAATTCTCCAAATGTCTAATGACATTTTTACTCAGTTCTTATCTCACCACAAACCACTGTTTTCTATCTTGCTTCCCATTTCTCTGACACTGCTTTCTCCGTAGGACAAAAAAAGGCTGTCAGCCTGATATGATAAGCTCTTCATTCAGTTAGGTCCAGCAATCCCTTCAGTTGGTTGAAATCTGCAGGAATTGCCCCTTCTGACCGTCTTCTAAAACCAAATGCATACATATACACACAGTCACCCACACATCCAAATGTCACTTCACAGCACCTAATATGGAAGGTGCGATGTAAAATATTCAAGCATGTCAGAAATTACACTTTAATTATGAAAAATTGCACTGCTCCTTGGGACAGTGTCCAACACTGCTACTCTGCTTGTGTTATTGATATACAGCTAGCATAAGAAACCTCTAACACTACACCAAAAGTGGATGCTCGTGTGACAGGTTTCCAAGACCTTGCACTGGTATTGCACTAGCAGTCTCGTCTGTTAGCACCATATCAGAGGCATTAGCAGAAAAGTGGCACTGAACACTGCTATTTATTCCCTCGAGTGCCATAAATTGTGCCGTGAACCAGCAATTCTGACCCATGCCTAGAAACAATCTCCAGAATCATTTCACCTTTGCCCATGGACTGTATCTTACTACTGAACAAACAGCCCCAGGGTTTCTGTCTTGCATACACATCATCTCCTTGGAGTTCAACGAAAAACCTTTTGTCTTTCAGCGCAGGGGGAGAACTTGTCCAAAGCAGCGGGTGTACAAGCAATTGCACCTCACTGGCAGCCAATTCATATACAATCCTGGTTGGTACACGGACTGATGCTGAAAGCTGTTGAGAATAGTCATTACAGCAGCAAGGTGTCATGAGGCGTGGTCCTTCTCCCAAGTAAACATGCTGCTTCGGAGTTCCTGTTCTCAATGCTTTATTGTTACACATCCTTTTTGTCAAACACAGTGCCCAACCCAGAGCAAAGTGCTGAACCCTCTCTGAGCCCTCTCCTTAATCTCCATCTGGTTTAAGAGACTTCCTCCATTGCCGGCTCAGAGGCAGGGCACCGGCATTCCTCACCTGTCTCTGCCCCTCCTGTAGCTGCAACAATTGGATCTCCTGCCTGTGTTGATAGGGTTTTATACCGTGATAAACTGTCCTTCAGGTTTGGCAGGGGGTTCATGTGAGTGTACAAGTATTTGGAATATCTATATATTAAGTAAATTTCAAATCCACCCGATGACTACTGTCCTTTGGGTGGATTAAAACTTTCATTAAAAGTTAATTACCATATTAAAGTGCAGTTAAGATTATAGTTCTTTTTCTCTTCTGCTTCTTTCTTGAAGCAGGAGAAAGAAACTATGGCTAGTAATAGTGCATGTAAAGTATAATCTGATCTGAAATGAGTAAAACAAAACTCATGAGTTCCACGTTTTAACAGCCATAGTGAAGCATTATAAACCCCAGGGAAATGGAAAAGAATTGTTACAATAGCAATCGCCTGCACAGTTGCAGACAGATAGTCTGAACCCCTCCATATGTCTAGCTAACAGTTTAGCGGGATTCAGTATAGCCTATAAAGGAACTGAACAGTAATAGCAGTCCCAGTTGTAGAGCAGTAGTAGATAATCTGATGCCCTCCAGATGTTTTAGAGTGCACGTCCCATCAGCCTGCATGGTCCATTGTGGGGGATAATGGGATTTGTAGTTCCAACACACCCAGAAGGTGCCAGGTCTCCACCCCCTGTGCAGAGCATGCTGCTGCTGCTGCTTGCCACCATCTGCAGATGTTGTCTGAGGAAGGCTTACTGCACATCACTGCGATGCAGCAAAAGACCGAGTTTCCATTTCAGCAGGGCAAGACGGGCATGTTGCACCTACAAAGAAGCCAGTATTGGGGTAGTCAATTTGGAAGGGCAGGCAATATTTATGACATTACCTATAACCACACAACCAAGCAGAGTCCCAAATGGCAGGCACTGGTGCTGATCCATATTAGCAAACCTGTTCTGGGAGTCTTCATCTGCTAGGTGCAACTACTTGGTAAAGCAAATGGGTCTTATTTGTCCATTTAAAACCAAGTCACCGCAGAATGTTAGACATTATATATTTGCATGCCTTGGCTCCCTGCCTGCCCACCCCCACTACTGGAGAATCGGAGCTAAACTCAGAAGGACCAGGGAATTCTGGGGTGGGGGCAGATGACATCCATGTCCCCCCTGATCTAAAGAAAAAGTGCCAGTGCGACATCCCTGGCCCCGCTTCACTGCTGAGAGAGGCCTGTGCTAGACAAGGCTGTTGGGTGACAGAGGTTGTGTACAGATGCAGCATAGCAGCATTTGAAGAAAGTGGGCCCACCACCACACAGTTGCTGCCTCGTGGAGGCAGCCGTGAAGTGCTTACGTCCTTGCCCTTTCCACAGGCATTGCTGGCCAGGAAGTAAAAGGTCTGCAGTTCCTGGCCACCAATTCCTAGCCATGTGGACTGATGCTAAAAAATACATGTTTTAGCTAATGGGGAACACATTGTCCTTCTGTAAGTTACTGTTTTCACCCAAGAGGCAGGAAATTCTACTGGTTATGCAGTTCTGGTTATTTAATTAGAAAGGGCCCCCTGAGAAGCAATTACCTGATTATGGAAGAATATCTTGTGAGTGCACAATAACAAATAATTAGGAGAACATAAATAGTCTAAGATAAAGAGTAATAGTAAAGGCGAATATGAAGTTCTAATATGCACATCTCATTACCGTAAAAAAGAGTTTTGTTACATTTATACTCAGATACATTGCTTATATCCACAGGAGTTACTTGGAGGGAAAGGCAATTAGTGGAGTCTTTTGATGTACTGAAAATGCAGGAGCAAATAATGTGTAGGTAAGCTCCATGCTCTATAGTGAGCACAGAGAATTCAAAGTCAGAAGCCATTGGACCCAACTATTAGCCGCAGTGACCAGTAAAGAACATGGGTCAAGTCAGCTCATCGCACTGTTATTATCATACCTGGCTATAATGCTCATCCCACTTAGCCCTGTGCAGTTCTATTAATGCAAAAGGAAATACTTTGATGTATGTAGATTCTGGTTCATAGCTGTGCTGGCACACAATGGAAGTGTTTGTTTTTGGAAATGTGACACGTGACATCATTTATTTCTGCATGGTCTACAGAAAACTACATACCTCTGTGAAAAGCAAGTTTACAAGTGCATTGGAGTCCTCCATTCTATCCACAGTGAAAGAGAAATCTTATGGATATCTAACCAAATTATGAAAGGCTCTGATCTCAGAACCTCCTTCCGTTCAAAGTCCTGCTGGTCTCCTGGTAGGAGAAGCAACAGAAGATATTTTTGCCTCTCTGTCCTATTTGAGAATGTTTCATTAGGCAGTCTTCTGAGCTCATCCACCTTTCTCTTTCTGCCAGGTGCAGGCATGGGCCATCGGATCCAACAGATTCATGGCCTACTTGTTCCCACCCACAGTCCACCTAGGACCCAACAATTTCCTCCCTTCATAAACTTGGAGTTCAGACTTTGGGAGGAGGAGCTGCTATGGAGATTCCCATGGTAACGAGGAGCACCTCTATCCCTGGATCTCTTCCTCTGAGGTCAAAAGGCAGAAACTGGCTCAGACAGCACCTAAAAGTCATAGGATTGCTCCCTAAGCCGTACTAATTTACCTTCAGCTATTAAACTCAATGCTATTCCAGAAATGGAGGGGTTTGGACAAATGTCCTCATGTATTTTGAAAACTCATGAGGGGACAGCAGGGCAGCCTGGGCTGGCATTTCCAAGCACTGATGCTTCTGGCAGCCACACCAAAGCTTCCTGCATGCTCTGCATTCATGAGAAGGGGCTTTGCAGCCAGGAGTTGCCCAGGGTCTTCCTTCACATGGAGCAAATCCACATGCACAGACCTGCGGGAGATTCCTTCTCATATGTGACAAGCGCACAGATAGGGGGAGTTGTGCCCACAAGGCAGCCCCCATCCCCACTGCATGATGGCAGGCAGCACTGGAGGCAGTTCTGAGGGAAACGGGTTTGGCTCAAGACATTAACCCTGCCTAGGGTGAAAGGAAGGTGGCACCTCCTCCCATTACATGGACAGGAGGTCAGCAGACTTGCAATTAAATCTTACTTTGACACCGGAAATGGGGGGCAGAGGCCAGCTTAGGGAGTGCAGGTCAAGCCATGTGTGGAGCTGTACACAGCAGCACAAAGGAAATTTTCTGATTCAGCTGCAGTGCTTCTTACGGCTTATCTCCATTCATTTTTTTTCTTTTCACAGGAAATTTGTGGGGGGCTTTTTTACTCTAACACTATTTTATTTTTTCAAGCGTATATTGTTGTTCCTATTATTACTGCATTGCATTCCTGTCCCACCATTTTTCCTCTTGAGAGAAATTCCAAGTGGCTCACATGGCTCCATTTTATCCTCACAACAGCAACCGAAAGAGGAAGGAGACCAAGAATAAGTGACTGCTTCCAGTTCACCCGGTGAGCTTCATGGCCAAGTGAGGACCAGAACCCAGGTCTCTCAGTCCCCCAGCTTAACCCTCCAGCCACATACCACACCGGCTCATATCAATCTCATGCATATTTTAAATGCATGTACTGTCCTTCCATCAGGTTAAACATTTATGTGCATTTTGCAAAAATACACATTCTTGTTTCAAATGTATAAATCCCTGAACATGTTTTTCTTCTCAGAATCAGATCACAAGTGCAGAATATTCAGACCTTGAAAATTAGGGTTAGATCAACATTTGATTGGCAAGTGAAAACAGGGTCTTCAAAGTGAAACTTATTTCTAGTATCTCCTGAGCCACGTGGACAACACAGCTGTGTCTTCCCACATCTTGTGGACACCACACACACTCCTCATTCTGCATCTGCTTCCCAAGATGACCTAACAGTTGAACCATTCTCAAGAAGGTTTCTAAAACAGAAAGAGCTTCAGAGGAAGGCATGAAACTGCTGGAGAAGGGGGCATGCCCTCCCTCACACAGTCCCACCAGGCTGGAGGGCAGCCTCACCTTCATCAGACAGGTGAGCTGACCCCGCCTTCGTGTGCTTACACTGAGTGAGCTTGGGCACGCCTACGGGGATGTGCCGCATAGGCTACTCGCAGACTGTGCTCCCACTCCGTTCCACCAAAGTGCACGTTAGAGAAGGCAGAGGAACTGTTGCATTAATAATGTGCTCATGAATCAGTGGCTGCTATTATCCTTCTGTAAGATGTTACTGCTTCCCCAACAGTGGAGGACATCAGACAACCAGTGCCTTCCAAAACATGTCTGCCTTTAAAAATTAATGGCATGTCATGTTGCAACATGCTGAAACCGAGAGAAGAAAAACTCATACCCCAGTCAACTTTCTCATTCTAGTCACTGTCGAGAGGGTAATCAGGGACTTATGTCCGAGAGGCATAGCCCAAGCTGACAGTTAGGAGGGCTCATTAGACTGTAACATTGCTTGTAAAGAAAAGAGTCAACTTATAAAACAAGTGCAGCCATTAGAAATGACAGGCGATGGAATCTACAGTGTATTGTTGCAAGGTTGTTTGTTTCCTGTTTACAAGGTGTGTTTGAACAAGTTGAAGGACGTGACATCCATCAACTATTTTTACCAGCATTTACAAGGAGCCGCACTGGGGCTAAAAGCCCGCAAACATTTTGTATGAGAAGATGGAGGCATTTGGGGAATGGAATCTTCAGTGCTGCTGCTCAGCACAACCTGATTGATGTCAGTGGCTTGTCATGCAGGTATCTGGATTGAGGGGTCCAGATGTGGCTCAGGGAAAAGTTCTTGATTATTGCTCCAATCCAGCAATGCTTTGTGGAGACGAAGGTTAAGATAGCCGGCTGGAAATTTCCTGTGTTCCAAAGCTCCCCTGTTCTGGGAGAAGTTCAGAGGAGGGCAGCAAAGATGACTGGGGAATGGAAACAAAGTCCTATGAAAAGAGGTTGAAAGAACTGAGGGGAGATCTTTTGGCACTTTTCACATACTTGAAAGGCTGTCACACAGAAGAGGGCAGGATCTCTTCTCAATCATGCCAGAGTGTAGGGCATAGAATAATGGGCTCAGTTTACAGGAAGCCAGATTCAGGGTGGATGTAAGGAAAACTTCCTGACTACCAGAGCAGAAGGATCATGGGACCAATTACCATTGTGTGGTTGTTGGCTCACCCACATTGGACACATTCAAGAGATGGCTGGTCAGTCACCTGTCAGCGATGCTTAAACCTGGAGTCCTGCACTGAGCAGGCCTTGGACTCGATGGCCTTATAGGCCCCTTCCAAGCCTACTATTCTATGGTTCTATGATGCTAGGACTGCAAAGAAGAGACCTGATCTGCAGAGGTGCTGCTGGCTGATTCCATTCAACAGGCATCTCCTGCATGACCTGAACAATGTTGGTTCAGAAACCCAGATGTACAGAGGTCTCTCCCTCTTCACAGAAAGTAGTAGGAACTTAGCTGCATATGAGATTGCTTGTTGTTGTTGTTGTTTTCCCTTGCATATGTGTGTGTATTGTTGTTGTTGTTGTTTGACACATTTTTTTCAAGATGTCACTTGTGAGGGACAACACAAGTGTTTACTTCCTATGAACATGCAAGTCAGGTACCGATGCTCTCATCACCTGCCTACTCACATCTTCCCAGTAAGTGAATACTTGACAGTGTCCTCCCACACACACATCAACCAAGATTACCCCTCTGCAGGGAAAACATGCATAAAGCAACCTGTTGCACCTGTTGGATTCAGTGCAACCTAAACATGTTTAAGCTTTATTTAAACATAAATAAATGCTTACACACATTAAGCTAGATTTAATATTTTTATCATTTTTTATTTTCAGAACATATTTAAATTTAAATACATGCTAAATATCATTTATTTTGATATGCAAGTAATCAAACATAGAGTCTCAAAGCCTGTTTAAAATTTGGAGATTCAGACATAGATTTCCAGCATCAAGTGGGATCTAGTCCTTGGAAAAAGCTTTGTTTATGAGCTTAATACAAAATGTAGGTATAATTTTGCTATTAGTCATAAAGCCTGGAAGCTATGAAATTAATAACAATTATATATGGCATCACAATTCATTTTCATATTGTTAATTGCAGATACTTAATAACCATGCCAATTTGAAATGTTGAGCATTTCCAACAAACATGTTCACAAATTATGGCCTCCCAAGCTGGGCAATTGAATTCTCACCACAAGATGAGGGTTTCTTTTTAAATTAAAGATGATGGTTTCTTAAAACAGAGATTGTGTGTCATTTTAATTATACTTAGTGGGGCAACTTTCAATTAGCAATTTTCAGAGTTTAGGCTGTACTTTTTAAGGTTTTATTTAGATAACTGGGGGAGGGATATTTAATCTGAAAATTAAACACTGTTCATTTTCTGTGAAACTAGTTGGCTGATGAATAGCTTGACCTGGCAACCTGTAGAAATCTGTTCTCTGAAGGTTTTTAACAGAAGAATGTCTACTTGAAGGGAGGAGGCGGTGAAGCGTAGGAAATCACTGTAGAATTGAATTTGGATCAGTTTACCTTGGAAGGCACTCCTGCAGTTTACCAGTGCAATCATTCTATATTATTTAATTTGATTTGAAAATAAAAACTGCTTGGGGCTAAAAGTTCTGTGAAGTTTTGTTGGATGCCTTGGTCTCCGGTAGGATGGGGTACTTGGCCAATCTCCTTCTTTTCAACAATGGGACAGCGAGAGTAGTGGCTAGCCAGCTGCAGATGTGGCTGGAGGAAATGGATTATCCAACTCAGGGTGAGCAATGTGTGGTCCTCCAGATCTGGATTTCAGTTTCCCTTCAGCCCTAGCCAGTATAGCCTGTTGTTACAGATTATGGCAGCTGAGGTCCATCTGAAGGATCCTGTGTTGACCTACCCTGAGCTGGTTCTGTTTCAGACTGGCTTCAGCCTGGAGAACACCAGCAAATCAAGCTTGTACACCTTGACGGATGCCCTCTGTTGGAAAAGAGGCAGAGGGAGAGAGTCCCTTCTGATGCTCCTAGTTCTTACCAAAATGACTCTACAGGCTGGGAATTGGGGGCCAAGTGTTGCAGTGGTTCTGATCCTGCACACTGAATCATGCAGATTTCTGTCCCTACATGCAGAATCATTCTACTCCTACATGCAGAATCACTACCTGAAAATGCTGCGAGAGGAGTTCTGCTCAGCTCCATGGCACTTGCACCGGGGAGTGCTGCAGGGCCCTATTCTGTTCTCTACACTGCTTAACACTACGCAAAATGGCTAGGAGCTACTATCTGGAGGAATGGGCCACGGTG